CATCAATGCTGGGACCCAAAGACAGGGAGTATGCTGTTAGAGACAAAACGTGCTCATCAATTCCTTTCATTTACCAGCTAGAATTAGCCTCAGGAAGACCTTCTGTTCTTTAAGATGTACTTAACTCATGGAAAATTTGATAAGCCAGATTTTGTGAGATCCCCAATTTTTGTCATTATTTAACATGCATGATCCAGGGTAGTGATTTTTCTTTTTACTATCACTTATAATAAGAATATTACATGTACATGTATATGTATGCAAGATCTATCAAGAATAATTGTGTTTGCATATATGTGTATTTCAAAGTTTCATGAAAAGTAATGAAAAAAGAAAGATGGAAAGAATGATCAGAGGGAGAAAGAAAGGAACAAAAAGAGGGATGATATCTATACCCAAAACATCTTCTCAGAGGCTTTGTACACAAAACATTGTTACACTTTCCTGTGTGTGATCCCTTTTGATATACTCTATATCTAGTCTGTTCTTTATATTTTATTAAAACAATAACAAAATGACAGTTCTCACCCATAAAGAGCCTTTAGATTGTTCTTATAGCCTCTGGAATAATGCAGTTTTAAGCAAACCAATTTTCATCTGCTCCCCTGACATGATACTGGCAAGCACCTGTGGTTTGAGGTACTACCTCAAACCTATATCATGGTTTATCCCATGATATAGGAGAATTCTCATTGAACCTAAGCATTTCAGGAATTACTAAACTTTTAAAAAGTCCCCTCCAATAAATACATACTGCCACAATGTTCAACTGTGACTACAGATTTAATCCAACTCCATGGCATGCCTCTCCCTTCCAGTGTGAAAAGTGCTTACATCTAAATTTAGATCCATAAAAGAACACATCTCTATATTAGGCTTAATCATAATTAAAACCTTTTGGTATGTGAAATACATAGATAAAAAGAAAACTGCAATCTACACATTGAGAGAAAATATTTACAAGTCACATATCTGATACATGAATTGTTTTCTAAATAAAAAACGAACTCTAAACTCAACAGTAAAAAACAAAGAGTACAAATAGAAAATGGCATAAGATTTAAGCACATGGTTTACCAAATACAACATATGGATGCCAAATGAGCAGATGAAAAAATGTTAAACATTATTATGCTTTAAGGAAATGTAAATTTAAACCACTGTGAAATGCCATTAAATACCTATTAGAATGCCTTCAAAAACTGGTAGAAATACCATGTTCTGCTGAGTATATGGAGCAGGTGGATTTCTCATACATTATTTTCAGAATATAAAATGGCCTGGGTCCTCTGAAAAATCATTTGCAAGTTTCCAGTAAAGTGAAAGTGCACTTATTTTTCATAGGTCACTACTGAATATTTTTCTAGAGAAGGAACAACATCATGGTCACACACAAAAAACTGCATATGTGTATTCATAGATACTTTATTTGTAAAGGCCAAAAAATAAAAAATAAAAAAGCTGGAATAAAACCAAATGTGCTTCAATTAGTGAATGAATAAAAGACTATGGTTCATATAAAAACACCTTGCCATAATAGAAAAGAATATAAAAGTGGTCTATGCAACAATCGAGTTAGTCTCTAATTCATTGTGCTGATTGAAAAAAAGTAAATTAGAGAAATCAACCATATTTACTGTATAATTCCATTTACCAAAAATTCTCAGAGGACAAAAGTATTGCTGTGTTTTCCACAGTCTTCCCATCCTAATTTTAATTTTAATGCATTTGAAATGTTGACTTATTCTTTTGGGATATTTTCATGCTCTGATAATTTAGATTTACTTATGAATTATACAATTTCTACTTGGAGTAACAAGGACTGGATTTCCCACCTGTGTGAAATAACTAAATATAGGATACATGGATTGGCAGATATTCTGTGATAACAGGTAACGCAGGAGTCCAGGCTGCTTCTTGAATCTCCATCTTATAAACACATGATCTCCATGTGTGCTGTGGAATTCAAACAAAGCATGGAAGGTGGCAGACTTGACATCAAATATCTTGGCTTGATATCTTGGAAATGAGAGATTGTTTTGACTCACAAATCAATGTCAAGGGGGTAGTCAAGTGATCCTTTATAACTATAGGTACCCTTGGAACTTAGTCTTGCCATAAGCCCAAGAAGGAGAGGAAGATAAGATACAGGTGAACATTTAGTCTTTCCCAAATATTGTCACATAGTAGGTGTGCAATGGATACCAGTTGTTAGAATTTTTATAGCAATCACCCTCTTTGTTTCCTGGCACAGTCAAATTTCCTTGAAATTCTCTGACATTTTTTAAGATTCTACTATGTTGTATCCTACTATGTTACACAGACAGCTCCAGACAGTTTCATAACAAGTTTTCAAAAGGACTCCAAATACTGAGATTTTGCCTTCTTGATTCAATATTTCCTTTTTGCACTTACCTATGCAATAAAATCTAAAATCTTGATAGAATGAAAATTTCCGTCTTCCTATAGAAACATGGTCAAAATCTCTGAATTTCTACTACCTTCAAAATGAATATAACCAAAAAGTTGTACAAGTGCCAATAGAAAAAATGGGAAAAAAACAGTGCTTGCCCCAGGAAAAAATCCTAAGACTAAAGGCAGTGGAAGGATGTTGAATAATTTTTATTTTTGCTATCCAATGATTGCATGTCTGCTAATAAAATATTTTTCAACTCCTGGAAGGACTCCAGGAATTTTAGGAATACATCCTCATGATATTTGTTATACAGTGATTCCTAAGGTTTTTGGTCTTTCATCTTCTATCACTGATGAGAGAAGCTTAGTTAATAACCACACTGGTTAATTCAAACCCACTTTATCATTGATTAAACCTCCACCAAAAGTTCGGCCCTTGCTTATTGACTGCTAAATTACTGTCAAGATAATCTATTTAAATTTTCCTTTGAATGAAGTGAGCACTGGCATTCCTTGGCCATGGCAGAATAAACCAACCCCACTGCATTCTAAATAACCAATCTCAAGAGACAAACATCCTCATTTCTTGGAAACTTCCTGGAGATGACTTGAATAAAATACTTAGTTTATGTACTGTGTTTAATTGCACTGATAAGCTCATTTCTAGGTTTGTGTGATCTGTGGCCAGTTTCAAGTGTAACAGTTCATGAAAATCCCTCTGCAAATATCACTGTAGCTTTTTTTCACCCTCTCTGACTTCAGGGTTATACTCCCCTTCCACCCCCAAATAATAGATATTAGTATAAAGGAGGCTGTACTTATCAGCTTTCTGGGAAAATATTTTTTAGGATGTAGTAGAGAATCCCAGGAGAGTGGCCTGGCTTAAATTTCACCATCAAGTTTACCTTCCACCTGGAATAGGATGTTGCTATCAGAGGAGTGGTAGCATGGAGAATCGGGCTGCCCAGGGGTTGGAATGTTCTAAGTTAGGGGGAGGACTGGTGATTATGCACTGCTTGTTTTACTGAGAACAGGATACTGTCTCCAGAAGATGAAGCTTCAAAGGTCTACATGTTAGGTTCCAGTTTGGGCAAGGGGGCACACTGTGTGAGAAGCCCCAGGAGAAAAGTGTTAACTGGTCTAGACACCCTGGGCAGAGTTATTTTTCAAGGAACCCTAGAAGAACTGTAGGTAAATGAAGTTTTCAGACACCTCTTGAATTGTGTTTGAATCTTATTTCAAACTTCCTCCTTAAAGCCTGATTTAAGTTAATTGGCTAAAATATGCTTCTTTCTATAGTTGAAGAGTCATTAAAGTGTAATGAGAAGAGAAATAAATTAAGAGATAGAGGTTTGACTCCAGGTGGAAAGTATGAAACAGTAAGCCCTAGATAATTCAGAGGTCTAGGCCCAGAGTTCATGTACCAAATATATGAAATTGGGCACAATCACAAGCCCTCTGAGCCTGAATGTCTTTGTAGGTGAATTTGGTTTGGTAAGTCCTATACTCTAGGATTATTGCAATGTATATAAATATATGAAGCACATGGAAAAATGCCCAGAGTATCTTAGGACTTTATGAACAGCAATACTTGTCTTGATTATGTTGACCCCATATCCTTCCACACTCAGAGACAAGTGTTCCTCAGCAAGTAAAAATTCATAAAATATTTCTCTTTGGTATTTGATTTACGTGTATCTGGTGTCTTCAACGGTTGGATATAATTCAAATGTAGGAGTCCAAATTGTTCCCCTTACTGACACAAGACCTGTGATCTAACCTCCATTTCTTCATTCAAGGAAAACCTTTAACTGAAAAACTCATGTGAACTGCTCACAACTTACTCATGTCTTATTTTTACTTGTCCTCTAAGGAATACAAGATCCTGTCATCATTCCTATGATATTATTGTTCTTATACTAAAATTCTATGGGGACATCCTGAGTCCTTTTCATCTTAGCATCAACATTATGACTGCAGTATTTTCCAAACAGCAGGTTTACAGTTCAGGTTTTGGAGTAAATGAACCAGTGAGCATGGTACTAATTTTATTTAGATTTATTTCCATTATACCTAGAAAGGGCTAAGCAATACATGTATAAGCCATTACAGTTTACACAAAAAGAGACTGAAAGAAATAAGCCAACATTGAATCTTAAAATTTATTTCTTACAATTGATAAAAACTATATGAAACCCAAGTTCTTTCAAATTACCAAAGAAATTTTTAGAGAAATGCACCTTATCCATGTTATACTTCAGATCACAAAATAAATGTATGGTTTCCAAGTATGTTTAAAAAGGTGTCAAAGGACATAGTACTCAACCACATAAAACTGCATTAAATGTATGACCAATGTCATTTGCAATTTAAGATATTTCAAAGTGAAGCATTATTAAACAACATTTGAATGATAAAAACATCAAAAAATAAAAGAATGAATTATCAATTTATGCACACAAAATAGGAACACAGGGATGATATAGTCTTTTCCTTTCAAGCCTACGTTTTCCCTGGAGCCATACACTCTTTCAGCACTAAACACTGGCCTTGAACACTACATGAAGGAGCTATTTCTGACTTTACTAGATGCTGGAGGAGCTGTCACCCATGGCACTGGAACTGGCAGTGGCCAAGGAACTGGAGGCAGACTCAATTGAAATTCTGGCCAGTGCTCTCTCCTCTTCTTCTAGCAGAGCTTCCTCATACTGAGCTGAGAAATCACGTGGGTTGGTTCCATGAACCTTGGCCAAAAACTCGAGGACTTTCATCTTGCTGGTTTCGGCATGGGCTCTTGGGCCCCACTGGAACTCATACTGCACTGGATCACTGTTGGCCACCTGGTGGTACTCCAGGTACTTTTCATTCACAAAATCATGGGCGATGAGCTGCCTGGCATCCCCGAAGATGAAGTGCTTCTGATCACGATGGATCCCCGTCATTTTCAGCACATCCCAGATCTCCTCTTCAGTGGCACGRTTACCCTTCATGAAGATCACACCCAGCATGAGTATCAGGAGCCCCGTCTTGGGTATATTCTCTTCATCACTAAGCATCCCATCGTAGGTGAGGCCCAGCTTGATGGAGAGGCCATAGCACTGGTTGATGGGATCCATTTCCTTCACATCAAGGCCAAAGACCATCTCCAGGCGCTCAGAGGCCCGCAGGAGGATCTCACAGAAGCGGACCTCATCATCTTCCATGATGAACTTCAACATATCTGCCTTTCGGGCTGGCTCTTTCATTTGATACTTGAGCAGCAGGAAATTCACCAAGAAAGCCACTTTCTCATCCAGAGCACTTTTGGGCACATGCTCGGGGTCTGCCACCATCGCTGAGGTGTTTGGAACACTCTCCTCTTCTTTGCTGCCAGAACCTTCACTGGACTGGATCAAAGAGGGGGCCATAACGGCAACAGGAGAGGAGCAGGAATTCTGAAGATCCTCAGGAGTGCTGGGTGTGCTGGGTGTTAGAGCACCAGGAGACTCACTCAGGTTGCCAGGCATCAGAAGCTGGGAGGAGGAGGTAGAGGGCGCCTCCACAGTCCCTGACACCTGTGCAACCTCTGGGCCCTGGATCTCACTGAGGATCAGAAGGTCTTCACCATGGGTGCCTTCTTGACTCTTCTGATGCCCAGGCATGACGACTCCTGTGATTGGCAGTAGGCAGAAGTACAGAAGGATGAGTGTGCAATGGAGAATCAAAGCCTAAGGGATAGAGAAAGGTATCAGTGTCAGCTGATAAACTGGACTGAACTGGCTCTGATGGAATGCAATGAGAGTGGATTTTCCTATGAATGGTGCTGTGAAGACCCACAAGCCTGTCATGGTATCTGGGTCCATCAAGAACCTGAAGGTGGAAGTGGGACTCCTCCTCGGGGGAAAGCTAGAGAATCCTCAGGGTTCTGGTAGACAGTTAGAGTTAAGCTCTATAGAACCCATTCTGTTTGAACATAGTGCCACCCGTTAATGGCCACAGGGCCATAATTTTTTATTTTATTTTATTGGTACCTTTTAGTTACACAGGACAGTAAAATCCATAAATTTGAAATCCTATAAGGCTCGTGCCACCTCCTCTCTGATAGTCTGAGCCTGCCCTTCTAAGACCAAAGTCATACCTCTTAAGTCAATTGAAGAGGAGTGGAGGTATGTCCCCAAGAACCCCCAAATGAATGTTCCCATAGCTGACAGCAGGGGCTAAATTCTGTGGACAGGTGTGGGTGGTCTCCTGAGTTCTCAGATGCCTTTCTTTGAATCCAAGCATGTCCTCAGGTACCATCTATTTTTACTAGATGTTACTCATCACATGGAAGCCTCTAATTCTCCTCCAGGAGGAGGTAAGGTATCCCCTTTGTCTAAAAGTGTTGTTCTTGGGCTGGCATTGTGTCTTCATGGTAGAGCACTGGCCTAGCATGTGTGAGGCCCTGGGTTCAATCCTCAGTACCACATACAAATAAATAAAGAAAATAAAGATAGTGGGTCTCACTACAGCTAAAAAATAAATATTAAAAAATAAATAAATAAAAATGTTGTTCTTGGATCCGGTGACTGACAAGAACAGGGCTGGGCTCTTCATGAGTCCTACTCTTCACTCAAGATATCCTTGTCTTGGCTACCTCATCCCCAACCACTGCACTACTAATTACTTCCCAATGCTGTCCCCTCCCCCACAGTGACGGCTCATCTACAGGTCACACTGGAGATGGAAGTAATATATACGAATATACCCAGTATCTTCACCTGGACTCCCTTGAGGCACAAGAGCCCTTTTTCGGCTGAGGTGACACTGCCTATGTCAGACTAATACCCCACCTTTCTCATACTCTGGAGGCGAAGTCACTTGGCCCCACGTCTACTTTGTTCCCCCGCTGCTGCCTCCACTTCCGTCCACCCCTCCAGCTTCCTGTCACCCCCTTACCATATCCTTCCCTCACACCACCGCCCCCCTCCCCCCGCCTCCCAAGCCTGGTGCATTGTGGGTCCACCATTGTTCTGCTGCAGGTCAATCCCCTCAGTACTCACTCATGGGGTCTTAAGTAATTGCATGCCTGGAGATACATGTCCCTACTGAACTAGGCCTTCACCTCAGACCACCCAGGAGGAAGCATGGCATAGGTTCAACTGACTGCCCTGATCACGGCCTCCCCCCACTCAATGCTGGAGCTGGTCTCCGATCCCTGGGCATCTCTCTGTTTTGTACCATGGGGTCCCTTGGGCCATTATTTAGTCTTACCTTCACACCCAGCAGCACCTGGGACCACCTCTCTTTCCCTCTTCTGACTGGAAGCCACCAGTCACTGGACTTACCACCTGAGGTGTTCCTCAGAGCACGGGGCTCAGGGAAGAGGAAGCAAGCTGATGTCACATCCGGCTTTCTCTACACATCACCCCCTCATGCCTGGGGTCTCCCATGGCCCACAGCAGGGGTGAGGCGCTGTGCATGCACATGGCATCCTTCCTAGTGTTTGCGGTTGCTTCTTGCTGTGGCTGACTCTGCCAGGTCCTGGAGTTCTGTGTCTGCTGAGGTGAGCTGTGCCCTTCATGCCAAGGTCCTCATCCTTCAGAACCTTGTGGCCTTTCATGTGCCAACAGGCTAAGAGGAGGTACTGTTAAGGCTTTATGATACTGTTTTTTCAGCTCCGTTATTTTTTAGTCGTCATTGATAGGGACTTCAATTTGATTCTGGGCTTCCTAGAAATGCCACCTCCAGCTCCTGTGAATCTTGACTAATTTATTTATTATAGCCCTTGTAGACCTTGTATTAAGGATCTGTCCCAGCCTTGAAGTGACATTGGGAAATAGTAGCACCAGGAAGGGAGGGACCAGGACAGGTGATGCAGTTTCACAGAAAAAACAAACAAACAAACAAACAAAATAGCACGTTCATAAGAATAATAAATTGAATTAGATGAATGACAAATGAAGAAGGATAATATATGTTGTAAATGTGAGTATCTCTATATATTATGTTAGATAATCACAATAGATCACACCTCTCAAAATCATAAGTATGTTCCTCTTAAAATTTGAAAGTAAATTTATTTTTGTTTTTCATGTTACTAGTGAATTTTTTACCTCTCATGTAAGTCTCCAGCCATTTATTTATGTATTTATTTATTTATTTATTTATTTATTTTGCCACATAGTCTTGCTCAGTTGCCCACACTACCTTATACCTGTGATCCTCCTGCCTTGAATCTGGAATTACTGGGATTACAGAGGTGCATCACTGCTTCCAACTTGAAAAAAGTAAATTTTTAACAGTGGAAGTTGTGTAAGAGGTAAGGTCTGGCCAGGTGTGATGGAACATACCTGTGATGCCCATGGCTGGGTAGGATGATGCAGGAGGGTAGAAAATTGAAAGCCAGTCTCTACAACTTAGGCTCTGAGCAGGTTAACCAGACCCTGTCACAAAATTTAAAAAAAAATATAAAGGACTGGGCATGTAGCTCAGTGTTTAAGTGCCCCTGGATTTAATCCCCTATACAAAACAAAAGTTAACATCTGGTGGGGATGGGTGTCATATGCCTATATTCCCAGTTACTTGGGAAGCTGAGGTGGGAGCATCTTGAGTTTGAGCCCACCCAGGGCAATTTAGTGAAACCCTTTCTCTTTCTCATTTTTTTTTTTTTTTTTTTTTGGTCATGCTGGGGATTGAACCCAGCGCTTTGTGCATGCAAGGCAAGCACTCTATCAATTAAGCTATGTCCCTGGCCCAATGAAACCCTTTCTGAAAATAAAAATGAATAGATCTTGCTATGTAGTTCTATCTCTACATCATTTATACCTATTCTCTTTGTGTTTAACCCTCAGTACCCTAAACAAAACACAAAGAGAATAGGTATAAATGATGAAGAGATAGAATAGAGAAACTATTTTTTTTTTTGTGAAAGTGTACTTCCTTTCCTTAGCCTTGCCTTTCTTCTGCTGCATCTACACCATTTGACATCAATACTGTGGAAGATTGCCAGTGGAAGGTATACAGCAGTTGCAGTAAATAAATTAGTGAAGATTTCCTAGGAGGCAGAGGTGGCAAACTGAAAAAATGGAGGTGGTAGTATACATCATTTTGTTTGTGTTCTATCTTACTGTAGTGTCAATTCTGACATTTCACATTTATAAAATTTTAATTTATTATTTTACTCATTTTTTTTCAGTTGACATGTAGTATTTGAGAAGCATTTATGTCATTCTATAGTTGATTTTCTGTAAGTTTTTACCATGAAATATTGTTGATTTTTTTGTTCAGTCTATCTTATACCTCTGGATATTATGAGTTTGTCCTCTTGTCTGTTATGTTTGAATTGCAATTAGATATCTTCTTTTCCTTCATTTACCAAGCCTATTTATTAATTTACTTTACTTTAGTATTTAATATACTATGAATATACTTGTAATAATTCCCTAATTGTGAGTAGCCTCATCTCAAATGTTCTTTTCTTGGAGTACCTTTACCCAGTTTTTCCATCAATAAATATTATCTTATAAAATATTTCGAGTAGTTTCAAATCTTTTTTTGGTCTTTTGAATGAATTTTTATAAGATACTTATTGCTTTTTCCCTGAATATACAGTTCAGTTGTTCTTCAAAACTAAAACTTTTGAGTATGGTTTGATATGTAAGTAAATTTTCAGTTTGTGTTGTTTGATTATTTTCTATTTTTATGATCCTATTTGGTTATTTCTATTTTGCTAAAATTGATCCATTTTACTTATATTTTCAAATTAAAAGGTCCAATATTTCTAGCTACATCATTTATTTTACAAATTCTCAAAAACAAGTAGTATCAAAGAACAGTACAATGAACTCAGTATACCTTCTACTCCACATACTATCAATAGTTTTTTTAAATATCTTTATTTTGTTTATTTATTTTTATGTGGTGCTTAGGATCGAACTCAGTGCCACATATGTGCGAAGCCAGTGCTCTGCCACTGAGCCACAACCCCAGCCCCTATCAATAGTTTTGTGTAGCAGTTTGTTCAGAGGAGGACTTGGTTCATTATTTGGCAAAACCCTTCCAGAGATGGTTCTTAATATTTACATTTTGTATCAGTAATGCTTGTGTGTCTCCCTTTTTGGTGATACTAGCTGTATTAAAGATTGTGGTCTGCATCCATTATCTATTAGAGGCTCTATAATCATAATTTTCTCATTCCATCATTCCTTCTTAGTTTATTACCTGAAATTTTACTATAGGTAGAAACCTTTCTTTATGCATTACTTGGTCATGTTGAGGTTATAATATATATTTATGTTATATTTAAGTCTTTTCTGCATCTATATTTTATACAGTAATATTGAACATAATTTTTATTTGTTTATATCTTTTTGATTAATATATTATTAAACTACATGTTGCATAACTTTTTCTTATAATTTGAAAAAAATGACAACATTTTTGGCCCTATGGACTCTAATCTCCAACTTGTGCCTCCTGTTGTAAAACAGGATGTGGAGATTCTATGAATTGAGAATCAGATCCTTTACAGAGTGGAGATTCTATGAATTGAGAATCAGATCCTCTACAGAGTAGAGAACTGAGCAGAGCAAGATTGAAGAATGGATCTGAAGATAGGTCTAGGTCTGGCGTAGCACATGAACAGATTAAATGAGAAGAACCATTCAAAAATTGATAGAGA